TTATCAGCATTCCCTTTAAGAGACTGCTTTTAATCTCAGCTTTTAATGAAAGACTCAGCTTGTTACCTGTATGAAAGACACATTTGTTAGACATGCGTTTCTTTTGAATGTTGTAGCCAGAAATCCTGCTGATTTTTAGACTGATAGGGGGGCATTCAAATACTTATTTCCCTCATGGCAACATGCAAATGAGTGCATCATTTGTTAGACACAATGCATTTCTTTTGTATAACAGAAATTTTTGTGTGATTATGCTATTCTGTCTCCCTCACGTGGGTTACAACTCCTGTTACAGGTCCTACCATTCCTCTCAGATTTTTTCTCTGCTGTCCCGCCTCCTTTCTCGCACTCCCCGACTGATCATTTCTTTGTGAGTGGGCAAATGCAAACATTCAAAATCAGCAGGGGATCAAATACATATTTCCTTCACTGTATATATATATATATTATCATGTTACAACCAAAAACGTATTTTATTGGGATTTTATGTGATAGACCAACACAAAGTGATTGTGAAGTTGAAGGAAGATGACAAATAAATATCAGGAAAGTGTGGCGTGCATTTGTATTCTGCCCTTTTTACTCTGATACCCCTAACTAAAATATAGTGGAAACAATTGCCTTCAGAAGGCATCTAATTGATAAATAGAGTCCACCTGTGTGTAATTTAATTTCAGTATAAATACAGCTGTTCTGTGAAGCCCTCAGAGGTTTATTAGAGAACATTAGTGAACAAGCAGCATCATGAAGGCCAAGGAAAACAACATACAGGTCAGGGATAAAGGTGTGGAGGAGAAGTTTTAAGCAGGGTTAGGTTATTAAAAGAAATCCCAAGCTTTGAACATCTCACGGAGCACTGTTCAATCCATCATCCGAAAATAGAAAGAGTATGGCACAACTGCAAACCTACCAAGACATGGCTGTCCACCTAAACTGAAAGGCCGGGCAAGGAGAGCATTAATCAGATTAGCAGCCATGAGGCCCTTGGTAACTCTGGAGGAGCTGCAGAGATGCACAGCTCAGGTGGGATAATCTATCCACAGGACAACTATTAGTTGTGCAATCCACAAATCTGGCCTTTATGGAAGAGTGGCAAGAAGAAAGCCATTGTTGAAAGACAGCCATAAGAAGTCCCATTTGCAGTTTGCGAGAAGCCATGTGGGGGAACAGCAAACATGTGGAAGAAGGTGCTCTGGTCAGATGAGACCAACATTGAACTTACTGGCCTAAAAGCAAAACGCTATACGTGGCGGAAAACTAACACTGCACATCACCCTAAACACACCATCCCCACCGTGAAACATGGTGGTGGCAGCATCATGTTATGAGGATGCTTTTCTTCAGCAGGGACAAGGAATCTGGTCAAAGTTGATGGGAAGATGGATGGAGCCAAATACAGGGTAATCTTAGAAGAAAACCTGTTAGAGTCTGCAAAAGAATTGAGACTGGGGCGGAGGTTCACCATACAGCCAGAGCTACAATGGAATGGTTTAGATCAAAGCCTAAGACCTAAATCAATTGAGCAAAGACTTGAAAATTGCTGTTCACAGATGCTCTCCATCCAATCTGACAGAGCTTGAACTATTTTGCAAGATGAATTGCAAAAATTTCACTGTCTAGGTGTGCAAAGCTGGTAGAGACATCCCCAAAAAGACTTGCAGCTGTAATTGCAGTGAAAGGTGGTTCTACAAAATATTGACTCGGGGGGCTGCATACAAATGCATACCACTGTTTTCAGATATTTATTTGTAAAAAAAATTTTGAAAAACATTTTATCATTTTCCTTCCACTTCACAATTATGTGCCACTTAGTGTTGGTCTATCACATAAAATCCCAATAAAATACATTTATGTTTTTGGTTGTAACATGGAAAAATGTGGAAAATTTCAAGAGGTATGAATAATTTTTTACTTTTTCAAGGCACTGTGTATATGTTTGTATGTATATATATATATATATATATATATATATATATATATTATATACACACATACATGTAACATTTTTTCTTTATTATATGCGGCCCTTGCATTGCACTGCAAGATCGGCTTTATTGATATTTTTTCCTTCCTTCTACACAAATCAAGGGGCAGCAAAAGGCCATAACAGGAAGTCAGACCTTGCTACAGCATACTGCAATGGAGTGTTACTTTTCTGTATAGTACTAGAGTAGTTGTCCTTTAACCTCTTGGCACCAGACGAACGCAAATGTGCAGCCTCCCGGCGTCTGGGCCTAGACACTGAGCGGCCGCACATTTGCATTCTATTAAAAAAAAAACATTCTATTAAAAAGTTCTATTAAAAACACAAAAAAAAAAGCCCTGCACTTTTCCAGCACACGCGTTCAGTACTCACAGAAAGGTCCCGATCTCCTCTTGCAATTGGGACCTTTCTTGATCATGTGACCGCCGTGACAGCGAATCACGGGGGTCACATGACCCTAGAACGCCCGCCCTCCTCCATGCTTCTGGAACCTTTAAAGGGCCAGGAGGCGCCGGCGCCAAGGGTTTAAATACATAGAAAAATACGTGTAGTTTTCATGTGCTTACTATAAATATATAGTTATTTAAAAAAAAAAGGTTAAAAGCGAATGTTACAGGGTTCCTTGAATACTGGCCAACTGCACAATATGGCTTGTTACTTGGATACCAGAATTTTAGTGTTTTATGTCCTGTAGAGCCTACTGTAAACCATAATTTCCAGTTAGCAGTATGCCTACATAAATAGTTTTCAGCTGTTAGGAACCGTGTTTACTCCTAAATTTACATCATTACATTCACTGTTGGTATCTCCTTCACTTACCAGAGTAAATTTCTATTTGCATTCTGTAGTCCATTTGGCACATATTACTTATGCATTTAGATAAGGTTAATGGACTGGAAATGCCAACGGGAAGCTTATGTTCTTTTTTTTTTTTTTTTCAAAACATCTTAACAGTGTGATGTGTATGGCCCTTTTCATATTAGTTTATTATTGTACAATATTGTAGGGCCACTTTACCAGTCACAGTGTCAGTATATTCATAAGTGTTTCAAAACAAGACTTTGAAGTCATAGCATCAGTCATCCGATGTGTATACATTTTCATTAAAGGCTTCACTGTGTTTGCATACAAATGCACACGTATTCTCTTTGCATCTATAAAGTACATGTTTGTGTCCACAGTTAATGATTAGAGATTATGCTTGTCTTTCTATGCTTCAACATATACGGGGTCAGACAGACAAAAAGGTTCTGATCATTAAAGTATGAACATTTCAGGATGTTTGCTGTGTTTTTAACTATATACACTACCTTATAGCCAAGATTTTGTGGTCACTTGACCATCACTTCCATATAAGCTGGATATCACGATCTAAAATCATGAGCATTAGTATGGCGTGACCCCACCTTCAGCCTTCAGGCTTTCCACAAGATTTTGTGAGTGTGCACCCATTCAGCTAAGAGCTTTTGTGAGCTCAAGTAGTTATGTTGGACAGGAAGACCTGGCTTGCAAACTGTTTTCTAACTCATCCCTAAGGTGTTCAAAGAGGTATAGGGTTGGATCTCTGTGCAGCTACTCGAGTTCCACCAAGCAAACTCATCAATTCATGTCTTTATGTACCTGAAATGAATAGACTGGAGGTGTATTGACATACTGTTTCGTTAAATAGTGTATTCAAAATTAATTGAGTTGACAATATAGCTGTTGTTGAGCCCCATTCTCTGCAACTGTGCAATTTATGCATACAATAGGTAAGGTCAGTTATGGTGTGTCCCAAATCCAGAATGTTTATTCTGGAAGACCAACTGGAAGGCATGAGATGATGAAATGTCACTTTCCGTTGTGATTCATTTGTCGAGATGGTTCCTGAGGAGGTGGTTACAGTGGTTTGTAATTGTTGGGGATCTCCACTCAACTTTAAGCTATTTGAGTAAAGGTTGGCTAAAATACAGCTGGAAATATCTGTATAACAGACAGTTATTACAACAAAGAATTGATAGATATTGTGCATTTTGTTGCACTATTGATGGACTGGGACATTTTACTCAGAAAGTAAAGACTGGAAATTGCAAGTTATTTTCAAAGCAAAAATTTACTGTGACCATTTGAAGATCAATAAGTGGATTATACTTTCAAAATGGCCATGTCGTACAAAAGCATTACACTTTTAGCCTGTACTGTAATAGTGTCCAGAGAGCCATCATTGAGAAGCATTGACTGTGATGCATTAACAGTTTCACAACACTTAAGAGGATAATTTCCTGCAAAGAAAATCACTTATTTTGATATATAATATGACTTTTGCTGCTGAATAAAGGTAAAGTATTCCAATTACTGAAACATGGCTCATGTAAATGCCAACCTTTTTTTCTTCTTCAATATATTTTTTTTGCACTTAAATGTCAATTTTACAAATACAGGTTCTGGGCAAATATATGATATCTCTATTTTCTCCCTCTGTCTGTCTCTATCTATTATTTGCACATAACAAATATGGGAAACAGAAACCATACTTCATTTTAAATGTCTAGAGCCAACGTCTTAATTGGCTTATTAAACACCAGGTTTTCTGGAACTTATAAATACTCAAATACCTCCTTAAGGGGGGGATATGAAAATTAATTGGGCTATTATATTTTAGTTTATATTATGTAAAGAAAATTTACGGTATAGCTTTGTATATGAAATGTAATAAAACTTGGAAAAGATCTACCTGTGTCTGTTGAATTGTGTATGACCACCATTATTTTTTTGTTTTTGGGTTGTAATAATGCTGTGTTTTGGAATTAACTGGGACTTTCACTGCTTATTGGGGCATTTTTAAAATGGAACTAAACCCACTGATTTAACTGTTTCCCAAAACTTATATTCAAGGCATGCCGAGATTGATAACTGTCAAAATCGCTTATTTCCCCAACCAAACTGCTACGCTGTTAAATGGCTGGTATCATAACTGATCATTTGTGCAGCACCACATCAACTGCAGATCCAAGAGAGGCTAGGATGGCAGCTTCCTTGACTGTAGAGGACAGGAGGGTTTAGTTCCACTTTAACCACTTGCCGACCCACCACAGTAAATATACTGTGACAGGGCTGGCACGGGCAGGCACAATCTCATACATATGTAATTGGGCCTTCTCTGGGTTAGGAGCGCGCCCCTCCTGTGACCTGTGTGTCCTCCGGACACAGCGGATTACAGTTACCAGTAATCCGTAATCGGTTATCGTGATCAGTATAAACAAGCATGAATGGCTTTCCATTTATGATCAGCTTGCTTACTGTTGTGATCTGTGATTGGCCCACAAAAAAAAAAAATGGAATAAAAATTATTTTAAAAATTCCGTGATCACTTCCACACCAGTCGTGTGATGACGCTATACTGCACTAGTGACAATATGTAAAAAATAATAGTGAAAAAAAAATGTTTTCTATTTCTTCATTTTTTTAAAAAATAACAACTTACAACAAAAAACTCACCATGCCTCATATAATGTACTGTCCTAGCATTTTAAGGGCCTCAAGAAATGAGATAGGCTGCCAATACATCAGGATTGATCAATTTTCAAATATATATACACTATAAGGCTCCATGCACGGCTGGGCATTTTAATAACACTAGTAACGTTATCTGTGTAAAGTCATGTTAGAAACGTGGGTTTTTCATTGTTTTTAAGCATTTTTGTATTAGCGTTTTGCCGCTTTTTTTTCTAGTTTTTTTGCATATGTGTTTTTTTTGTGCTTTTTAGCGTTTTTTTGTCAAAAAAAAAATCTAAAAACGCAGATTTGCTGTGGTTTACCATGTTTTGCCGCATTTTTCAGTGTTAAAAAACTCCTCTAGAAACCCACTAGTTCTGGGGGTTTTTTCCAGCCAAGAAACGCCCCTGTCAAAAAATATTGATTACAGTCTATGTGTGCATGGACGCATAGGATAACATGCTGGGGAGTTTGCTGACTGTAGAAAAAAATGTCAAAAGCCAAAAACAGCAGCTGTAAAAACGTCCAGCGTGCATGAGGACTAATTTGCAGACGCTATAACTTTCACACAAACCAATTCATATACACGTATTTGGATCGCAATAGCAGATTAAATTGTGGCCTAAATTTATGAAGACATTTGATTTTTTTATATTTTTTTCAATGGATATATTTTATAACAGAAAGTAGAAATTTTGTTTTTGTTTTTTTTTTTCAAAATGTTTGCTCTTTTTTTGTTTATATAATAAAAAAAATAAAAACCCTAGTGGTGAACATATTCCATCAAAAGAAAGTTCTATTTGTGTAAACAAACTATATAAATTTCATTTGGGCAGTGTTGCATGACTGCACAATTGCCAGTTAAACAGCACAGCACTGACTGAATAGCATAAAATGGCCTGGTCATGAAGAGCGTAAAACCTTTGGGAACTCAAGTAGTTAAGTTTTATATATCTGGTTGATTATTGATCAATACCTTTTTAGCTTGTGAGGAGAAAAACTGCTTTTTATCTTGTTCTTGAAGCTAGATTTATAACCAATATAGATTTGTAAGGGGGATTTGGGTTTCACTTAATCAAAGATAATGTAATCCAGTTCAACCCGTCTACCTACTTTCCCCTTTGCGATCAGTTGGATGATTCGGTGTATATATTATGAGAATAGGGGAACAAGACAGGTTAAACATTTGATTTACAAAGCTGTTTTTACCACTCTCTTGACTTACAATAGCTGTTAGACCCAGAAAGCATTTTTGTAAAACTATCTTTGATTTGTCCTAGATCTGAGGGACTAATCTATGTATTTTTTTAAAATATGGAAATGTCTGGTTTTAGGTACTGTTGAACTATACACCCTTTCTGAATAGTTTACATATACTGTACCTGCTCACCAGTTAAGTACAATGTTGTACAGTTGCATTAGGTATATTCCTGTGCTTAATACTGCATGGATCAGGTGTTCAATGTCCCAGAGTAGTGTGCTGTTGAAGATTCACTCAAAAGAGTCAGTGAGTTGTTGTCAACATCCCAAATATATACAAGAATGGAAAAGAGCCCACAATATTAATATGGGACTTTTACGGCAACTTCATGTAGGACTGAGATAAAATACAAAATAACTTTATTACAACATAATAAAATCATACAGCATAACGAAATCGTATAAAAAGCAAATATTAGCAGCTACATCTTCAAAGGCAAAGGACATGAACTTGATGTATGTAGAGCATCCTCATTGCCCCAGTAGAGTTTCTTCAGTGGGATATCCGATGTGTTTCAGACAACTATCTTTCATCAAGTGTAGATTACAGAGGGGGAAGGTAAAACTGGTTTCTATAATATAATAAATAACAATAAGAAAATTGTACATTGTTAAACTGTATATACAGATCATATATTGTACAATAGAATACATACCACCCCATATACAGAGCCAGTGCGTCCACTGGGCAAACTAGGCAGCCGCCTAGGGTGCGCTGCCACCTAGGGGCACCTGGGTGCAGCACAAGCCGCCACTCTCTCTGTGTGGCCTATGGACCTCTTGTATAAATTATCCCTCTCTCATACACAAGGAATGATGAGGGAAAGATGGTATCTTTATCCTGCACAATTGTCTCACAGCCTGTCGCACACATGACCATTGAGTTCATATATTTTATTTATTATATGCACACTTATACATACATACATATATACATGACAGTATTCCACGTAGCAGTGAAGTGTCAGCTCCCTCTAGGATGGGAAGTGATGACATTGGCCCAGGACCCTGGGCGGTCAGCAGTCTCTGATCAGAGGATCGGTCCATGCATCTCCTACGTCTTTTGTGTACGTCTTGTACATCTTTTTTGCATTACATTTTTTTAAAATTTTTCTTCTCTAATTTTATTTGTTCAGAGCAAGTCTCAGCAGCTATAAACTCAGATTCCTGTACCTGCACGTGTCATAGCTGCCAATGCATTGCCCTAGGAGCTACTGTCTTTCAAAGCAGTAGGGGAGGTTGCATAGGGAGTTGCTTGAGCGATGTTGGAAGCGGGAAGTCAGGATGAACATACAGGTGTGCAATGCCTCAGCTTGTCAGCCTGTAGTTCTCCTTGGAAGCAGGCATCATAGGGTACCAGCAGCACTCTTGTAGTGACAGGAAGTCACTACACCATGACACCATGTGACAGGAAATGTAATGGCAGATTCGGCAAAAACATTAGAGGCAATGAACAAAACTACAAGAAGGTTTCACATGTTGTTTTAAAAAATAATAAACTAACATATATTATTGTTTTGCAATGTGCATTTAGATCTTGGTAGCAGGTTCAAGGGATCAGTAAAAGCATTTACTATATTGGTGATCCTGTGATAAAATTATATAGAACTGCAGGTCTCAGCATGCCTGCTGAAAAGGTGGAACCTATACATCAGGGGTCTCTAAACTTTCTAAACAAAGGGCCAGTTTACTGTCCTTCAGACATTAGGGGGACTGGATTGTGCCTAGTGAGAGTAAACAATGCCCCATATTTGGTATAAGTCGGAAGAATTAGTGCTCCATCTTTGGTGTCAGTGGAAGAATTGGTGCCCCATTGTTGATGTCAGCGGAAGGAATAGTGCTCCAACGTAGTTGTCGATGGAAGGAATAGTGTCCCATTGTTGGTGTAAAGAATAGTGCCCCATCGTTGGTGTTGTTGGAAGGAATAGTGTCCCATTGTTGGTGTTGTTGGAAGGAATAGTGTCCCATCTTTGGTGTTGTTGGAAGGAATAGTGCCCCATCGTTGGTGTTGGTGGAAGGAATAGTACCCCATTGTTGGTGGAAGGAATAGTGCCCCATTGTTGGTGTTGGTGTAAGGAATAGTGCCCCATCGTTGGGGTTGGTGTAAGGAATAGTACCCCATCATTGGTGTTGGTGGAAGGAATAGTACCCCATTGTTGGTGTAAGGAATAGTGCCCCATTGTTGGTGTTGGTGTAAGGAATAGTGCCCCATCGTTGGTATTGTTGGAAGGAATAGTGTCGCATCGCTGGTGTTGGTGGAAGGAATAGTGCTCCATCATTGGTGTTGATGAGAGGAATAGTGCCCCATTGTTGGTGTTGGTGGAAGAAATGTTGACCCATCATTGGTGTCAGCGGGAGGAATAGAGCCCGATCGTTGGTGTCAATGGGATAAATAGTGCATCATAGCTGTTGTCAGCGGCAGGAATTATGCCCCATTGCTGTTGTCATTTCAAGATTAAAAGTTCAAGGCCAGATGAAAACAAACACTTCTGGCCCCAAGGCTGCAGTTTAGAGACCACTGCTATACATTTTCTATAGCATACTTTTTTGTGTTTGGAGAATGAAAAGATGAGATGGAGATTCACTCATGAGATGTTTGGACCCACCAGTGTCTTAAACAGTCCTCACCACATCCTGTTTTTCATTGACATGTCCCAGAACTGCTTGATTAATTTTTTGTAAACACTAAATTAGTAGTTTTCTTATATTGCCAGTATAAAAAATTAGGACATTTTTAATTGTTGGAATAAATTTTGAAGTGAAACTTACTGAACGGTGGATGTGCTTATTTTCCTAAAGCATGTCACATCTGGAATGAAGTTGACAATATTCTGGAAATCTGTTCATGCTTCTCAACAAGTATATTTTATTTTGTAGACTGCACTGCAAGTCATGGCACAGCTTTAAAGATTCCTAATTTAGAAAACACTAAACTGCAATTATCTTTAAGTAATCTTAGCATATAAATTTATTAACAAAGAGCTTTGCAGTTTATCTTTGCTTTACACGCAGGGCTTGGAACTTCTGCTGTAATGCTAATTAAAACTTTCCAAAAACTTTTGATTCATAATATTGCAAATATATTACTCTGTTTCATTATGCAATTCAGGCAAAGGCAAAGTCATCATTATCTTTCTTAATACTGCGGAAATGATATATATTAGGAAGCTTTAATGTTCCTGGATGATATTTATTCTGCTGTTATTTACTTCTTATAACAGAGGTTTAAGACGATTTACAACCAGGCACATCTTTAATATTTAAAGGGAATCAAGAGCATGTGGTGATCAGCATAAGGCATTAGAGAAGTCATTTTTGCCTTTTAACCATTTCAAGTCCAGACACTTTCACCCCCTTCCTGTCCAGGCCAATTTTCAGCTTTCATTGCTTTCACACTTTGAATGACAATTGTGCGGTCATGCAACACTGTAGCCATATGAATTTTTTAGTATTTTTTTGAGACAGATAAAACTTTATTTTGGTGCTATTTATTCACCACTTGGATTTTAATTTTCTTTGCTATATAAATGAAAAAGTCCAAACATTTTGAAAAAAAGTTTTTCTTATAAAATGTTGCAAATAAATAATCTTTCTTCATAAATCTTGGCCAAAATGTATTCAGTTATCTTTTTAGTAAACAAAAAATAACCCAAATTAGTTTATAATCAAAAATTATAATTTTTCAAAAAATGTTTTTACATTTTTATTTTTTTTTGTAAGATAATGTCACTCTAGCAGTACAGTGTCACCATAGTGACACTGTACTACTTGTGGGGGGTGATGAAGACTTTTTTTTTTACACTGATTGCTTTTACACTTATATAGGCTGTAAAAGCAATCATTTATCCTTCGCTCTGGCTGCATTCTTTCAGCCATTGAGAAATACTGTGAGAGCTGTGATTGGTCACAGCTTGTTACATGGTGCAAGGCTGTTGTGAATAGCCTTGTACCATGTAACCTCTGTGATCATTTACAGATTTCACAAGTAGTAAGCAATGATGTCAGGAAGTGACATCTTGCTTACTACTGTTCATGTGATCACTGATTGGCCAATCAGTGATCACATGATCGGGACCTCACACAGAGGTCCCGTACAGCGATCGGTGTTCCGCTGTGTCCAGTGGACACAGCGGGCACTGGATCGTGGTGCCGAGCGCTCCCAGGGAGCGAGCACAGCCTGTAAATGCGGGCGCCATTTATGAATGGCAACTCGCTCCTGCACTGCTCCCATCCGGCCGTTTATGTACATGGGCCGGACAGGAAGTGGTTAAAGCATATGTAAACCCAAAATTACATATTCCTGATATGTGCCTGCTGTACCATGTGCTTGTATGAAAAAGTAACCTGTTCTCTTTGTATTGCTTCCTTTGTGTGAAATCCCTGGTGTTCCTGTCAGTCCCTCTGCTTTCTTATTAAAAACATCACCCTACTAAGTATGAGAGCACAGCGTGGTCAGTTTTCTAGCTGTGCTGAGAACTGGGTGTGCTCACCTCCAATGATCAGACTTCTGCTGACAATAAGAAGATCAGTGTGCTGCTGTTTCTGCTCCTCTTATGCAGCTGAGAACAGAGGGTGATCACTTATGAAAAAAAGGTGTATATAATTTGTTTTATATCTATACACAAATGTTTTGCCTTTCACTTTTATTTTAAACTGAATGGGTTGTTTAATATACAGCAGTGGAAAATTAGGTATATCAGGGTGTACAGTAGTGAGTTAATTTAAAGCTTTTTCACTGTAAATGTAATTGCAACAGGATTCTCTTGCAAGCCCCTGTACAGTAGAAACAAGGATTGGTGAAGGAGAGGAAGAAATAGGATCCAGTCAGGCATGCTGCAGTTTATATGTGCTCCCAAGGGGTATGCTAACAGGTGGAGAGAGGAGAGTGATCGGCTCATTAGCATGCTGTTTATCTTTCACTGTCTAATCAGTCTGTGGACAGAGAGGTGACCCAACTTTTATGACCTCACATTAGTATAAAAATATCAGGTCACCAACACAGCTCTTCTGTCTACTACCTAAATATTATGGCTGGATGGACAGAAATTCAAGTGTTTTGGCAGAAAATCACCCTATATATATATATATATATATATATATTTTTCATCTGCTTGCTAGTCAAGAAAACTAGCCACCGTCCAAAGCAACAGTGTGCGGAGTGTCTTTGTGTGCAATTACCATAAAGTGACCATGGTAATCATTGGTTACAGTTATTAGTTACAGAAACAAATGGCACAGAGACAGATGCTTTTAGGGATTAAAACTAATTTGTACTGAAAACCATTCTTTTTTTTTCAAAACTTGAGTATTCATTAGTACAAATAAATATGCACTGTAACTGCTTAATAAAAGGAATGAAATGCAAACAGACTACTTAAAATGATATAAATGCATAGTGTATTACCAAATACATTGAAATGGAAGACTGCACAGCTATAGAAAAAAAAGAATGCAAATGGTTGCAAGAGAAATGTGGGAAACATTGCTATTAATCCAATTGCTATTTAGTTTTCAGAGAGTACAAAAAGAAAAGAAAATAGAAAATAAATTAGCAACATACATTACATTATATCATATAAAGCAACAATTGACCACTTGTATAAAATATTTGATGTAACTGGAGATAAAATAATATATTGAAGGTACTAATAATATATGTTTACTTCTGTTAAAGAACTACTGTAACCATAAAGTCAATAAAACAGCATTAAAATCGTAAAGCAAACCTTTCCCCTTTTCAGTAAATATCACATCAGCATACAGTTATGCATGCTCATAAAATCATTTTACATTTTGGTTTTACTTAAAATGACTGTTTTTTTTCCACTTCTGGTTACATAATTACCTAGTTGGTAAGGATAAATAAAGACACTAGTCCATCCAGTACAACCTTTGTAGATATATGTGGGAGGGTGTTTATGTCAATATCATTTCCCACATCCCTGTATATTGCGTTCACTAAGATGCCCATCTGAGAGGTTTTTATTAAACTATCAACACTTCCTGCTGACACCACTGATTGTGGAAGGGTGTTCCACATCCTTACCGATCTAACAGTAAAGAACCCCTATGCATCTTAAGGTTAAACTGCTTCTCCTCCAAATTCTTGGAGTGACCACATGTCTTCTTCTTATGGTTGAGCGAAGCACTGATGATGTAGCCAGGGCTTCACATGTGTATCCTAAGAAGGCTACATCTCTGGTGCCTTCCTCCCAGGAGGAGACCTAGACTTCCAAGAAGCAGCCCTATTGGGAAGATTCCCCTTAAAGGGCATTACCAAGTTTGTTGGAAAAAAAATAAAAACAAACTGGAGCATATATTGTTTAATTGCTACACAGTTCAATGCAACTTGGAAGTGTGCTGAACACAGTAGGCATAGAAAATGCCTCCAAAAAAGTCTGAATTAAGATACAAATCAGATTTCAGACATCCCCTGTAATAGAAATGTATGTTTTGGTGAGTTACGTCCCAAGGGTTTATCACTTCTAAAGGTATACAGAAATTACAGTTAGAGTTAATCACTTCTAAAGGAATACAGAAACTGCAGTTTTCTTTATTAGATCACAGAAAGTGCATCAGCTGAGTAATAATGAACCAGTTCTTACAAAGGACCAGTTCTTAATCAGGACTGGTATCAGAACCCACAAACTATGCTGCATCTGGCAGTAGCTCTTCTTGCTGAGCCACCTGAGATGCTGAACAGCTCCCTGTCTGATCCTTTGGACTTTCTTTTCTTTGTTTCTTGTTTTTGGTGAACCTTGAACTCTTTGCTCCTCCCAGGAACTTTCTGATGTAAGCCATGTCTCTGTACTTCCTGTTTGCCCAATTATTGTGCTATCTCCTTGTCAAAGAGTGGGGTGCCGTGTACATCATCATCATGCACCCAACAACATGCAGAACAACTGTGTTGGAGATTTTTTTTATACTAGATATGCAATAACTCATTGGTTTGTTTACTGCACTTAAAATATCTCTAAAATTATAACTTATGTTTTAATTTTTCTTAGTGTGGAAGCATTAAAACCCATGTCATGTCTTTTATTGCTGTCTGCATCTTGGTGACCATTGTTACTGGGACACAAAGTACTGGGAAATGTAAAAAGTTTCAATTGTCACTGAAAAATAATGTGAGGGGATATCTTCCTAAGATGGCTTCTATTTTGATGACAACTGTCTGGGAGGATTTCTCCTCACTTTGTATAGTCGTCTTCTCATTTCCTGCTCTGTGTTGAGACAGGATGTAATGCAGAAACTTTCAACAAAAAACAAGAAAAAATTACAGCCATTTTAAGTGTAACTGAACCGCTTTCTGTCTACCGTACATATATATACGTCTTCGGACAGGAGCAGTGACAGTAGGATCATGGCTGATCGTGGTAGCATTACCATCTTGTAAAGCAGCCAATCAAAATTATCTCAGTTATGGAGGGCAGAGGACCTGTCATGGTCCATGCTATCACAAGGCAATAAAGATCAATTTAAAAAGAAAGATAGTATAAAACAAAATTTCAATGGTAAGCTGTTATATGTTACTTGCTTGTTATAGGTTTCTATACACTAACCTGACAGAGGTTATAGCCCTTCGCTTGTTAACTGAAAATGTGTTTTTTTTTAAAATTTGTAAACCCAGTGGTGAAATATTCTATAACGTCTTGTCCTGGAAATAAAATCCTGATTGAGGTTCTATCACTTCCTCTCTCTACCCTCAAAAAATTTACTGGATTTGGCTTCTCACCCTGATTTTACATGCTGTATCAAAGCTAATTTTATGAGGAAGTCAGGAAGTGATGAAATGCGTCAAGGGACGTGATGTTGGACTTTGCACAAAAAACTGGAAGTGGTGGAGCGACCATCTTTAGTGAGGTTTAACACATTTGGCGTTTCAGGAAGCTGCTTGAGGTGGAGTTATGGGAATAAATGCAGTTTTTAAGGTTTTTATATGTAAGCACAATTATTGAACATACTACACTATATGGCTGTTATTTCTTTCTATGAGTAACATGGAGTATAAGAAGGCAGGAGTATTTGAATGAACATTTTGGGATCTGAAGGTATTCCTGTGGATATTGGAGTGAGGTTCCAGTAGATCACTATTTCTTTCTGGATTTTATTGAAGGTGGTTTATTATTTAATTAGGGTAAGGGTATGTGATTCAGCCACTTACATGTGTTCACAGAGTGTTCACGGAGGAGTGTATATGTAAAAGTTCACACAGTGTTTTCACGTTCTTGTGTGTTTTATCTCCACAGAAATAAATTTACATTTCTGGTTTTTGATTCAATTATTTTATGAATGTATTATTGTTCATTATTTATTGAGGATAATACAGTATTTAGTTTTTCTTTGTTTGGAGGTACACGGCAATTATTGGAATCACATCACACGGTGAATTTATATTAGAAATTGGAGGAAAAATTCTCTGGACTTTGTTTTTGGGGAGTTTTGTTTTTTTAAAATATTTCATGGACACTGGAAAGGTTTATATAATTATTTTGGACTTTCAAGGGTGAAAGTGGGACTTTTTAAGTGCCATTTACACAGGGAGTTTATCTTATTATCTTAATATTTTGTACTATATTGAGTGTATAATTATTAGATACCGATTTAAATTCACAAATTTTGATGTTCTGTTTGTTCATATTTTTCCTGAATTTTATATGTCTATTAAATCTAAAACAAATATACTTTTAGCACAAATTACCTTTATATGTGGACAAGAATTTATCAAGAAAATTATGTATTACTGATGTAAGGGACACACAGAACTATTGGTCTATATAAAAAATGGTTGCATGCTTTAAAAGCACTTATTTTGTAGTGTTGAGGACTGTAGAGTATGTACTAACCTATATCACATCACGTTATATTTCTGCCAGAGTGCAGCATGAAATTCCAGGCGACAGGGCATATAGTATAGTATATGGCTTGTTTCTCTAGGAGGAGGATGATTGTGCAGCATGCAGATATGCAGCAGCTGCAGCTGCAGTTGCAGATAACAAATATGTTTCTGAAAGATATGACAATCATATTGAAACAATATAAAATGTTTTGGTACAAGCACAAAATAAATAGATACAAATTCCCATGACAGCACTATAGTGTGCTCAGTGGCCATCAAGATGTGGTAGGTCAAAATCTGGTAATATTT